AAAACAAGAAGTTTGGCTAAAATGACCTCTAAGTTTCCTTTCAACTCTATCAACTGATGGAGCTGCTGTTGTGTATATGTATTTTTTAATCTCAAGGAATACTAATAAAAATGTTGACAATTGTCATCTCTCAATAATCTTGCTAAAAGGCTCTGGTTATTATACAACGGGCATGCATCCCTTGGGCAACAAAAATCCATATATTTTCTTTGTTTTCAAGGGAGCATACAGAAGAGTAAACATAAGGCAAGATGAATAGACTAGATAATAGAGTCACTCTTTGGATTAATTACCTATTACTTAGCAAATTGCTTATAAATGTAGCAGCTTAAACCAATATACACCTATAATCTCCACTTCCCCGTGCCAGGAGTTCAAGCACATCCGATATCTTCTGTAACCTTCCCAAGCAGCAATCAAGATTTCAGACAGACAACTTTCTTCTCCGGAGCTTGGGGCCCTTTTTCAAGCTCCCGTGTTGTTGGAAAAATTTAGTCTTTGAAACTAGAGGATTGAGATCTTTGCTTTCTTGTTGGATATTGGCTGGGGACACTCTCAGCTACTACTGGTCACTGCAGTCCTTGCTATGTGACCCTCTGAAAGGCCACTCACAACATGGCAGGGGAGGCCTTCAAAGTCAGTAGAAGGATCTTCCCAGTGTGCTAAGTTGGAGTCTTACATAACACAATGTCATTGTAGTCCATCACCTTTGCCATTTAAAGTCCTCTAACCAGGAGAGTCAATTAGTCATCTTATTTATAATTTCTGCTCATATTCAAGGCAAGGGGCTCTATGCAGGGTTTGTATACCAGTGGGTGGAAACCTTGGGAGCCATACTAGAATTCTGCCTGTCACAGTCTTTTCACTAATATTTATATTACGTTTCTGATATCTATCGTTGCCTTTTTTTTTTGTTTTCTAACTCTTTCTATGAACAGACATGTTAGAGAAGAGATTCTTTTTTGCAATGTAAGACATTATAGCCTAGAGGCAAATCATTCTATTTATGAAGAGAATGTGCAGGGAACAAATCTGGCTCTACCATTTACTAGCCATGTGACCTTGGGCAAATTACTTAACGTCTCTGTGCCTTGGTTGCCCATCCATGTATAAAATAAGTAAAATAGTAGCATTTGTCTCACAGGTTGATATGAAGGTTAAATAAGATACTACTTAGATTTTAATAAACACATGACTACTAATTGTTTACTTTCTATAGAAGATGACACCAGCCATGACAGCTAACTAGGAATTAGAAAGACTTACTTTTACGTATTTGGAGAGTTTCTGAGATTGTGATCTTTTGTATTTGTCCATTGTTCCTTTTCCATAAAATCCTCATAGAATCTCTGTGAAGAAGGTATCATCATCCCTATTTTAAATAAACATACTGGAAGTTCAGAGAAATTCAGGAAATTGCCCAAGGTCACATAGCAGTGAAAAAGGCTGAGAAGTAAACTACTAAATTCAGGTCTTCAGAGTCCAAGGTCAGAGCTCCTTTCAGTATGCCAGAAGAAGAGCTTGGAATTAGGATCATTTGTTTAATTAGTAAGTATTTACAGCTCTTATGTCAAGTATTGTTACTATTTGATGGGGATCTAATGGTAAACAAACACAGGAAGCTTGTATTGATTATTTCCTCTGGGGATTGTGAAGATTAAATAAAACAGCATATTACCAGTGTCTGGGCCAGAGAGGGTACTTCCAGGAGGCAGGCCAGATCATGAGGCTGGGATGTGGTAGGAGGGGCTTTCACATAAAACTGACAACTGGTCTAGAGTTACCCTTCAATCTACAAACAGGTTTGAATACTTCTTACTTACCATGTGCCAGGCACTGTGTTAAGTGCCAGAGGGTTGCAATCAAAGAAAGAGATATCCATGTACTAGTTCTAAGTGGAATATTTATCAAACAATAGAAGTACAAGACATTGCTACATAAGATGAAGCAATGTATTCATATTTGTTGAGCTCAGAATTGTTTTATGGAAGTGGAGTTTAAGTTTGATATTGATGCATTATACATGTTGGTAGTCTGATGAGCCAAGAAATGAGCATACTACTGGTAATAATTTCATCCATGATTGTATTTAACACTTTGCTATTTGCTAGCCAATAAAATAGACTCATTCTCTGCTATCTTTCATTTAATTGGAAGAATTCTAATAACCCGTGGCTTGATCATATTACACATTTAAAATACAGAGAGAAGAAAACATACATACAAGGTTAAGATCTTAGAGTGGATGTTCCAGAGGCAAAGCCTGAGGAGGGGATTCCTGTATTCTTGAAAAGCACATTTACTGAGAATAGAGTAGCAGAAGAAATGGGGAAGGTAACGTGGGAAAAGGATAAAGTTTGGGAAGAAATAAGCAAAGTAGCATTTCAGGGCAAGTCTAGCCTCAGCCTGATCTCACAAGGAGCTCTGAGCATGAGTTGCACCAGAGGTTGTCCTGCCCAGAGGCAATGAGGGTGGACTGTTAACCTAATACCCCCATGCTCCATTCCACATTGGTCAATCAATCATCAGTCATGCCCCAACCTTAGGAAAGCAGGGGAGTGGGGTGAACAACACTTCCCAGGCATCTTCAGGTGAGGAAACTCCTGCCAACTAAGGGAAATCCTTCAGAAAATAGTACAGGGTGAGCCACCAAAAGCCAACCTTTGTCGCAGCTGGGGCTGAGAGCATGTCCTGGTAAGTGAGATCTGGATGGAGTGTGAACACCAATAGCTATAGTCACATAGCTGGGAAACAAGCAGAGGAGGGAAAAAGATAGTGCGTATCTGCAGAATGGTTCAAAAGCAGTTTTGGTCTGTCTCCTAAAGTCCCAAAGGTTTTTAACCACTAAGTAACATATGCACCGAGTTTATACTTTTTACCTACTTTATCTCATTGAATTTGAGTTTTCCCCAAAACGGAGTAAAGTACATTCTCTGCCCATTTTTATCAAGAAGGAAATTGAGTTTCTCAGAATCTGAATCTAAGATCTCATGGCCAGTGATTGGTAGAGCTAGGATGTACACCGAGGTCTTCTGGCTCTCTCTCTCTCTCCTGTGATCTAACTGGGAAATTGGGCAAAATGGAGTAAAGGTCTTAACGTCGGGGTGAACGAAAGCACCAAGGTAATTTCCTACATCAAAACACTTCAGTGAGGCAACTAAATAGGATGATGTCCTTAGCTTTGGCCTTCTTGCCTAGTGTGCTGTTCAGAGAACTTTGTTATATTGCTCTGGCCTTAGCTCAGGCTGAGTCTTCCTAAATCAGCTGCTTCCAGTTAGAAGCATGTTTTATCACGTCTCCGTTGCATCAAATCCCGGCCACTGCTTTGCTTGAAGGTCATCTTGGCATCACCCTAACTGTCCAAACCCAAAACCTAGATTTCCATAATTTCCTTTACAGGCTCTGCCTAACAGACAGACACATATGCTTTATGTCTTCCTCCACTTGCCCACAAATAGATGGACTGAAAAAAAAGCAGAGTAAAGACACTGGAGACAACATTTCATTTGTAAGAAGAATGTCTCTATCAACACGGGCAAGCCCTTTAATTTCTGAGTTTCCTTTTCTTTAAAATTAGTAGCCCATTTTCTAATTCTCAGAGTCGTTATATTGGTTAGAAGCAACGTATCTGAATTACCAAGCACATGGCAGGTGTGTGATAAAGTATAGTTATTTTTATGCAACAGATACAGCTGCCAGGAGCCAAAGACACATGGGTGCCTGCTAAGTAAGCGTCCAACACTCCAGCCTTGGAAAGCAGCAGCCTCTCATTGAGTTGAGCACATTTGGCATGCCACTTAGACAAATCTCTTGCCTCCCTCTACCCTCTACCCCCAGCCCTTCCCCATGACCACTGTCTTGATGACTAAAGCTTCCCTTGTTCAGAATGCCCTCCTCTGGTGACACCATTGTCATCCATGCCCCAGCTTTGTGGCAATCCCACCATGAAGCCTTCCCATAGGAAGGTCAGGGTCCCTGTGGCCCACAAATTAAGTGACCTGCTCTGCTGTGTGACCTCTGGGAAGATTCTCCATCGCTTAGCATTTCTGACAAATGACATTCTGGAAAGAGTCTCTGATATTTTCACCTGCTCTTGTAATATGTGATATCAACATTTCCCATTTCTGGACTATTTCCCTGGTGTGAGCAAGAATCCTTTCTTCTGAAAAAAATGATTTGAGGTCAGGGCCACTTTTTAAATCTCGGTTTCCTCTTCTCCATAAGGGGCTAGCTAATTTCTCTCAGGGATGTTGCTGAACTGAATGCCAAACCATGAAACACACCACCCCGCCCAGACCATACACAGCCACATCTTTCCCCTTGCATGGCAAGACCCAGTGTATTTTTATTAAAACCCAGAGCGAATAGTTATTGACTACTAGTTCCTGCCGTACTTTCCTTTTATATTCTTGAGGACTGAATACCAAGTTGGGCATATGGTAGGGGCTCAAGAAAGTACAAGTTTAATGAATAATGGTGACCTATGACCCCACCCCTGCAAGCAGCAGGCACGCAGGGCATCGGCCTCCCCTGCCTGCATCTCCTTTCAGGTGGGTAAGCCTTCCATGACAGAAGGAGTAAAGTGCCCTGTGCTCAGAGGCACATCACTTTTCCTAACCTCGCTAACTTTCAGGCTGTGAGCTGATAACCAAATGGTGTCACAAGGATTTTGACCCTATCTTATTCCAGGAGGGGCTGTTCTGACTCTGGAATGCCATGTGTGTGAATATTCTGAATCTAATAGCTGAGGCTTGGCTCAGTTGCTCTCAGCTGCCTCTCTGGAAGGAACCACCTATATCAGGCTGGCACCTGTCTCTGTTAATGGAATTGGTAAGAGGCATGTATGGGAGGGATCCGTGCCTATTAAGCTCCCAAGTCACTGCATTTTGGCTCTATCAGGACAGGTCAGGGTCTACTTCAGGGCCTCTTTTGAATTTCACAGTGATTGGTGAGATCTATTAATAAATACCTTGGGTACGTCTGGAGTGATGGCTTCTTACCTTTTCAAGGACTGGCTGGGTTGTACCAAAAATGAATGAGCAGACGTTGCTACGAGGACCTCTGATTCCTTGCTCATGGTAGACTCATTTGAACATTCCTTTAGTCACAACTCTGCACCCCCAAATAAAAAATAACAAATTTATATTCACTGATCATTTGATACTGGACCATCCCCTCCATCGATGATGCCAGCCCCAATAGCTAGATTATGTTCCATGTGCTGGTCCTGTCTTCCTCCACTCCTATCCCCGTCTCTTGCACCAACAGTTCATGCTTCAACTAGACCATCCCTGTTAGGGCGCATAACTTACAGGCAGTTTGCAAAGAATATCTTCTTCAGAGTCAGAGACTCTCATTGCACTTTCCTTTCAGTCACCATATTTGTGAACAGGCTTGGAAACTTGTCTTAACCTTTCTGGGCCCTCTTATTTCTTCAGCAATTCAACGAGTGTGATAAAAGCAAGATCCAATGATGTGCTGCCGAGGGAGGCTCTCTGCCTATTGAAAAGTCCCATGTCCGCCAGGAGCCTGCTGTAAATATTTTTGCTACTTCCTCTGGGGAGACGATGGTTTAATGACAACTTTAATAGATTCTAAAGAGGAGGGCATCCTCTTTGCTCTCTGTGCATGATATAGGGTGGGGCACAGGCCATGCTAAGGTCAGGTCAGGCTGGGGCTGCTGAAACATACCAAGGTGACTCACTTCCCTGATAACACTGCTGAGAAAAATGCAGGCTTCTTCTTGCCCTTCCTGTAGCTGGGACATACCTCTTAGGATGGAAGATATTTGGCACCTGGAAAGAAATGTCAAGTCAGGTCAGGAAGAACTGGCTCTGAGTCTGGGCTTTCCTTTTGAGTTCAGAAAAGGTTACATAAAAAATAAATACGTAAATAACCTGTGCTTTGGCTGTAAATGGCCTCTAAACCTGAGCTTATAGTCAGTGTGACCTTGGGCAAGTTTCTCATGTTCTCTGAGCCTATTTCCTCCTCCTGGGTTTGCTTGGAGAAATTTCAATGAGTTCTTAAGTGTAGGAGATGACTAATTATGTCCATTTCTGTCATTTTCCTTAGGCATAAACTATGCCTGAAAACCAGATTATTTTGGTTGTTTATATTTTCTCTTTAAACTATAATGAATGTTTTACTTTTATTAAAATGTCCAATGTGTTTAATTCTGCAAAAAGCTGACTGTGTGAAGAATGCACAAAAAAACTGAGGCTCAGAAGAGTCTATGTGACCATCTCCAACAACCTGACTATTCAGGGGCAGAGGTAAAACTGAACTCCAGCCTCTTCTCTAGGGGTAACTACAGTGGCTCTCTTACAGGCTACCCTCAACTCTGCTTTTTTCTCTTTTTAACTTCAACCCTTGGGAGCTTAAATTTTGTTTCACATTCAGGACTCCAAATTTAGAGTTGACTTTGAAACATACACATATTTATGTCTCAATGCATATAGAATATATGTCTATAATGCCAGTGGATCTTTCCGGAAATAAGCAGAATTTCAGACTAAGCAAAAGACCACGACCCTTCTAGTCAGCTTTTCAAAGAACTACAGTAGGAAGACACAGATTTTGCAGGTCCTCTTTTCTATTCTAATTGGCTTTCTGGAGGCCAGCTGCCACATGGGGCAAAGTACCCAGGCCCAAGATCATTCTGAAGGCCGAGGGTTTAATCCTCTTTATTGTAGGTTGCCACCATTGCTGATATCAGAAGCATATGCAAATATACTTTGAGGCCAAGATGGATCCCAGGGGACCTCTAGCCAGTTACTAACTGCTTCTCCATCCTGAATATTGCTTTGTTTATTTGAAGTTTACATGTGGCTAAAACCCACATTCAGCTACCTGCTAAGTCAGGAATGGGTAAAACTGTGACCTCCAAAAATGACAAGGAATCTCCAAGGAGATAAATCTTACAATCTAAGTAATAATAAATCCGATGATCACAATGAGACATTAAAAATTAAAAAGAGAAATGCAGAAAAGAGAGAGGGGAGAGAGGATTTTAACAGCCATGAAAAACATGTTTCTTTTTAAGTAACAAAGAATCTAGATTTTGCAATGAGTGTAACACAGACAGCTATTTTGAGTTGGGGGCAAGTTAATTATATTCAAAAAAAGATAGCGTCTCCAGAAAAAGCTTTTTTTTTTTTTTTTTCAGTGAAATAGTTTAGTTCCTTCATATAGAGACATATTACACAATGTTAACAACCATGAAAAACAATACAAAATGCCCTCTATTTAACAAGTAGAAAAATATAACTAGTATATATGGCAATTGTGAATCTAATACTGTACAGAGTACTTTATGGATTTTTACAAATAAATTATACCTTAAATGCTTTCTTAAAATTCTTCCCCCCCGCCCCAGATGTACACCAGAACTTACAGTAGGAAAGTTTCTGAGCTTAGCTTATCGCAAATCAGTGCCAGTCAAATGTCCTGCCAACAAGCTCGAAGAATTTCTTATTTGGCTCATGAAAATATTCGTGCAGTTTATTGAGTAGTTTGGGATCCACCTGGGGGTGCGCTCGGCCTTTGGACTCATGTAAGCAGCGGTCCCGGCCGCTGTCCCGCAGGCAGTAAAAGCCCTTAGTTTTGTTAAAGTAGAAGTTTGAGGCATTGATCTGAGGCGACAGCTTCAGGAACCTCTCTACCTTTTGGATCTCGGGGAAAGGGTCCCTGATGAGGCGGTCGCCGTCCACGATGTGGATGTGGCGCAGCGGGAAGAAGCGCAGCCAGTTCTGCATGTGCACGTGGTAGAGGCTGCGGTTGAGGGCCTTGTAGTCCACGTTGAGCCGGCCGTCGCGCACCAGGAACTCCTCGATGGAGGGGTAGGGCTTGCGCTTCTGCATGTGGTTGTAGAACACTTGGGTGTAGTCAGAGAGCACGCGCTCCGACGGGTCTCGCAGGATGAGCAGCAGCTGGATGGACGGGTTCATGCTGTGGACTCGCTCAGGCACTTTGGGCGACGTGAAGTACGCAGGGGTCTTTTCCACCGTGAGCTGGTGCGGCCAGGAGAAGGGCATCTGGCTTAGGTACCAGCCCAGGCCGTGGCTGTAATGCTCCTCCCAGTCAAAGAAGTGAACCTCGTTCTCCGCGGCCGCCACGTCGGGGTGCAGGCTGAGCATCTCCAGCAGCGCGCGTGTGCCGCCCTTGCGCACGCCGATGATGATGGTCTGCGGCAGCTGCTGGGCAGAGCCGTTTGGGGCTGCGCCCTCGCGGATGTCATCCTGGAGGGTCCCTGCTTTCCGCAGAAGCTCCTGTTGGCCGAGCTCTGCGGGGCGGGAAGGCACTAGCTGGGACTGGGCCACCAGCAGCACCGCGCCCAGGAGCAGCGCGGCCATGCTGGACACCACCGCAGCTTCACTGGTCCACGCGCTGCTGGATCATGAAGCGCCGCAGCAGGGAAGCCTTCCAATCAGTGGCACATGGGCGTCTCAGGCCTTCAATTACTAGGGGACAAAAAGGGAAGATATTAACATATAATAAATGCGGGGTCATTCAACTAGCAACTCTGTAGCCACTCTGCAGCGAGGGCTATATTCACCTCCCCGGGGCTCTCAGTTTCTTGTCTTACACGGGAGCGGAGGGCAAACGTTTTCTGCAAAAGGCCAGAGAGACAATGCTTTAGGCTATAAGGGACATACTTTATGCCAACTCCAACTCCAACAGTGCTATTAGAGATGGAATGCAGCCACAGACAGCAAGCAAGGGAATGGGTGTGGCTGTATTCCAAGAACACTATTTATGGGCACTGAGTAAATTTCATGTAATTTCTACCTGTCATTAAATATTATTCTCCTTTTTAGTATTGTTATTTTATGCGATCATTTATATGTTTAGCTGTTCGGCTGCATAAAAAGCAGCGGTCCCGGCCGCTGTCCCACAGGCAGTAAAAGCCCTTGGTTTTGTTAAAGTACAAGTTGGAGGCATTGATCTGGGGTGACAGCTTTAGGAACCTCTCAACCTTTTGGATCTTGGGGAAAGGGTCAGGTTTGGCCCTCCAGTCAGAGCGTGCTAATCCTTGCTGTGAAGGAAAGGATTAGGAAGACCCTTTGGAACTCAGCAAATGTCAATAAAGTATCTGCTACCCAACAGTCCCTGGCAGAGGGCAGGAGATATAGCAATAGGCTTTGTTTCTGCCCCCTACTTTTCTAGCCAGGGGCTCCTAATCTAACAGAGCATGTGAATTCGTATGAAAGAGTTTATGATTAGTCCCAATTCTTCACCTTGTATCCAACCCTTGAATTGGCCTTACCACTAGTATGTGAGCAGATGTGACAACTCTCCAGTCCCCAATCTGGCCGCAAGAGGCTTTGGGTGTTTTTGCTCGCCCTCTTTCACTCTTGCCTTTGCCATGAGAAAACTATGTCCTGGCTAGTCCATGGTCCCAAGGGGAGGATGAGAGACATAGTGATCCCAGCTCATGAGCGAAGATGCATGATTGTGGTTTTAAGCCACTGAGTTTTGAGGTGGTTTGTATTGCAGTGGGAAATTGGCAAAAGTTAATCATTGCAACATGGCTATAGGCATCAGGGTGATATATGTTATGATTGTAATTTAGGTGGGGTTCTCTAAAGACAAGTGTTCATTCATTTTGCCTGAAATAATTGGGGATGGTTTCACAGTAGAGGAAACATTTGAAATAGGCTTAGAGGGATCACCAAGTGAAATTACTACAAAGGACAAAAAGCCTTCATGTGTACAAAGCTTTACTATTGATAATGTGGCCTTATACTCAGCTCAGTTGATTGTCACTACAACCCAACATTAAGGTAGGAAGGCAGGGTAGATGTCACCACCATTTTTAAAGGGCAGTTTTGTCTAAGGACACAATTCTATTAACCTGTTCCAAAATTCAGAGCTCCAAATTCAAAACTCTAAACTCGGTGTTCTTTATCCACAAACCACTTCTTTTCCACAAAAGTTCTCCTCTTTACCTATTGAAGATTTATAACATTTAGGAAGTAAAGTCTCTCAAGGACACAGGAACTGCTTCCCTAGATGCTGTTGGGCTCCACAAGACAGACCAGACAAAGGTTTATGTTTTCAAAGAGCTGATACTCATCAATCTGTGTTTCACATTCTCCCCAAAGGAGGAGACGGGATGCTCTCACTTAAGTCATCTCTATTTAAACACATTAAGGGAGGGGTAAGAGACAAGCCTGGCTTGGGGATTATGGGATTTACAAAGCTAGTAAAAATGTTCTTTATCAAGAGGACTCACCACCTTTTGTATGGTAGTTTCAAAATTTACTTCGTTAGTTTAAGACTTGTCTAGAATGAATAAAGGAAGAACAAATTCCAGGACATCCATTTTTATGATCAACCAGCTGATCCACCTTTCTCAGATATTGTGTTATCTGCTTTAAAAAACATCTATTAAAGAGCAAGTAATCAAACAGATGGAAGGCTTTAGAGAACCACAATGTATTAGAGAAGGGACCTGAGAGATCAGTGATGTAACTCTTTAAGAAAAAATCAAAAATGCCTTAGAAAGGATAGCCAAGTCTGATGAGGTTTCAGGTTGGTTCAACCGAGAGGTAAGCCCAATTTAATGGGCCAGTTGCTTTAGTCAACTGATGGTTTCAGGGTGTTCAGTCAAACTTCATTTCCCTCTCAAGTCACCCATGTGGTTCGATCAAATGTACCAGCTGTGCTTGGCTTTCACAGGTCTGAGATGTGAGTATATGTTTAAGTGTATGTGCATGCTTGCCGGTGTCTGTATGTGTGTGCATGCATGTGTGTGTGTGTGTGCAGGTATAACAGGTGGGTCCAATGAGAGAAGGACTATTACCCTTTAGAAAGCTACACTGTGTGTTGGGCATTGCTATCCCCATCTTACAGTTCTATGCTCAGTCTCAGGGAACAACAGATCCAAATTATTCGATACTTAAGTGTAGAGGCAGAGACCAGATCTGAAATCCATATTATCTGACTGTTTATGCTCCTTCCACTTGAGCCTGGGGCATTCTGGTTAGTGTAGTGTACATCTGAAGTTTCTTTCCTGAAGGGGAATTACCAGCAGACAATAGACAAGAAAGTAAATACAGTTTGTCCTTTCTGAAAGAAAACAACAGCACCACACTGGGAAGTTAAGTAGCTTAAAAGTTCCTTGTTCATACTTTAATGCTGTCTAAAAATACATTTACTATGTCTAGAGCTTTCTCATTCAAAAATATTTGAGGCTTATAGAGAATTAAAGTAGCTAATGTCTTACACATACATGTATACATACATGTATATATGCACACATACATGCTGTATATCACACACATCATGTTCGCAAATATACACCATGCATATCTTGTATGTGTATATATAAAAATGTGTATAAGTATATATGTGTTTGTGTATGTGTATGTAAATGTATGCACACCTATATTTATATCTAAATATAGTACAACCTGTATTATACTACATACACACTGTGGGCATTGGGAGCCAACTTCTTCTTGTGGTTTTGTAATTTGGACTTCCCAATGGCATTTGGGAAAGAAAGGCAGGACCTCCATTTGCACAAAGGGCCTCCTTCATGTTGGCCAGACTGGTCTTGAACTCCTGACCTCAAGTGACCTGCCTGCCTCGGCCTCCCAGTGCTTGCATTACAGGCAAGAGCCACCATACCTGGCCTAATCACTATATAAAAAAATGTCTAGTCCTTTTTGTAGCACTCTCAGAAACAAAAAGATGCCAAAGCTCAGGTGAACCTGTAAGCCATTCCTCTGGGCCACCTTGGTCTTGACAATGAAATCATAAACATCAGGGAAGAAGGGAGTCACTTAGTCCCTGCCTTTCGTACCCCAAGATAACTTGCCCAATGTCACATAGTCATTCTTAGGACTTTTGGCTCCTGAATTCCATTTCTGCAGTCTAGTTGCTATTATTACTGTTTTTCGAGTAAGTGGTTATAATGCAAAATAATGACCATGTTTTTGGGATTCTAAAGAAGAAAAACCCGACAAAATCTACCCAGCAACTCCCTGGCCACCAACTTCCAGCGTCAGCTGATACCCAGGATATGTACTGTGCAGGATCAAATTTGCTTATTTGTTCTGTTCAGTAGAAGGCCCAAATGAATTACACAGGTTCTGAGTTAGGATTCCTGTCTCTAGTTTGGACCTTAGTCAAAGTGACTTAATGTATTTAAGCTTCAGTTTCCTCATATGTAAAACGGTAATAATTCTACCTGCTTTAAATGGTTACTTTGAGACTGAAATGAAATAACGTGTGTCAGGACTGTCCGATACAAACAGAATGTGAACCACATATGCATGCACTCAGACATTTCCCAAGAGTCACATTTGAAAAAATGTATTGTTTAAAGGTTTTTAAACATTTTTGATGTTTAAACATTTTTAAATATTTTTTAAACATTTTACAATGTTAACACTGTAACATATAATCACTATACAATTTTGTTTTTGAGACAGTCTTGATCTGTTGCCCAGGCTGGAGTGGAGTGGTGTATGTAATCTCAGCTCAGTGCAACCTCCACCTTCTGGATTCAAGTGATTCTTGTGCCTCAGCCTCTCAAGTTCTGGGACCGCAGACATGTGCCACCACATATGCCTAATTTTTTGCATTATATTCTTAGTAGAGATAGGGTTTCGCCATGTTGGCCAGACTGGTCTGGTACTCCTAACCTCAAGTGATCCGCCTGCATCAGCCTCCCAAAATGCTTGGATTACAGTCATAAGCCACCATACCTGGACTAATCAGTACGTAAAATTAATGTGATAGTTTTCATTTTTTTCTACCCAGCCTTCTAATTCCAAGTGTGTATATATTTATCCTTGTAGCACATCTCAAGGACACATATGGCTGGTGGCAATTGAGTTAGACTGAACAGAGATAGCCAGCACTGGGCACATTTGCAATTCTTAATCTGAAAGCTCTTTAAGTGTGGAAAGCACTCTCCTGAAAGCAAGATTCCTACCCACTCACAGATTAGGAGCTTCCTGAACAGGAAAAGAACCAGGAAGGCAGGTTTGAACTGGCAGGCAGCACAAAAGGCAAATTCGTTCTTTTCCCTCAAGAAACAAACCCAATAAAAGTAAACAAATGGGACCTTTTGACAGTTGAAGCACTCGGCTGACATGGGCATGGATACAGAATTCTCCTTAGCACCTGGAGTGGAGGCCTCACCCCTTGGCAAAAGCAATGATTGCAGCTCCCATCTGCAGCAATTGCTACTGAGCCAGCACTAGGCTGGCAACTTTCCAAACAGGGCTTGCTGCAATCCTCACTGCAAGTCCTCAAGGTAAATGATGTTATTATTTTAAAAAGTGAGGTTCAGAGAAATGAAGTTGTGTGGCTAGAAAGTTAGAGGCAGTGAAAGGATTCAAACTCAGTCTAAACAGACAAAGCCAGGAACTTCACGGTCACTTTCACTTTTCTCGGCAATGCCTGGTGTTAGGGTGCATGTTGTTAATAAACTTGGCTTGACTTC